AAACTTCTGCACTGAAACTTACAGAAAATCTGCAATGCTTTTACTGCTTACTGGAGAGAAATACGATCACTTCAAATATTTCTCAGGCTATCTGATACAGGGCACTTCGTTAGTATGTTTCTACAGCTGTACTTAACAACGTGCTCTTATTACTAACAAGAGTAGGCATTATAGAATATTGCAAAGCTATACCTCAATGAGTGAAGAGCCTAGACCTGTAACCATACAGTGTTGCTGAGACAGTTGCATATGCTCCATGGCTTTCCACTGCACTGTACTACAAAGAGAAGGAAGATATTCCACCTCTAACCAACTCTCATGGCACGCATGGGGAGGGTCTGGAAGTTGTTAGCATCAAAGGTGAAACCATCTTCTAGTTAAAAAAAGATTAATTGATTTGAACAGCTAAAGGATCAGCAGCATTATACCTGAGGGACACACTGAGCATTCCTGATTTATAAATAATAAGAATTCCTAGAAGGAAAGGTTATTTGCTTTTTTTTTTCCTGCCTAATAGTGGCCACACTCTTGGCTGACATTTGAACAGCTGTCAGATCACCTAAGTAAATGTATTAAAATTTAAAAACAAGCCAAGGTTAACTTTCCTAATACAATGGGTTCTCAATGAACAGAGCAGGGTCTTATGATGTAAAATTTGGAACTTATGCAAGAAAATAACTGCTTATGTGCAGTGAAAATGAGCACTCAGAACAGCTAATCCTGGATGTGAGCAATAATCTAGCAGTAAGAGTTACCTGTGAGCTTTCTTTAAGAGAGAATCACTCTTTTGCATTATCACCACTGCTGAAACATGGGGTTTGTTCATTTCCACAGTGAACCAACGTAAGTGAGAGAATACCTGCTTGCGTTCCTGGTTTCTGCTGAGCTGCAAGCTGCTAACACATATTTTTAGGCAAAGGCACAAAAGTACTGTTCCAAAAACCACAGAACTGATTACTGGACTTGTGACATTACGATTGTTTTGAAAAGAAACAAACTACTACTTTTAATAATTAAAAGCCCTTGCAAACTCATTACAATTAAAAATGAGCCATACATTCTGCTCAGCTTGCAGAAGCCTTGAGAAATCAAATAAAACATCAATGTCTGTCAAAGGTTGTAATGATGTCAAACATTTTACTACCGAAAATAAGTAAGTCTTCTTCTGTATTACTGTGTTCAGCTTGAGCATGCTTTCAAATAAAGACAGTCAGAACCAAAAAAATTCAGACACCTGTACAGGCATGGAAAGACTTCTAGATGAGAGACACTACATGACATGCCACTGGGGAGAAAGTAGTTGTGAGTTTCTGTTATCCTTGCAGTGCAAACTTGAAGGAAGATGCCATAAAAAATGAATGCCAATCATTAGAGTTATGATACTCCCCCTCTCTTTCAGTGCATTAACCGCCACTGGAACTGGAACTCAAATTCACAACACATCTGATACTAAGAGATTAAACAAAGTAGACAGACAGACAGCTCTGGAATTTTCCAAAATGCCTATGACATGATGCAAAATTCTCACCAAAACATACATAGAAAATTATTAAGAAATATTGTTTTAAACATTCACAAAAGGTAAACACCATGAACTGCTAAAGAAACAGTTATTCTTGCCAAGAAAATATCCTACTCCATCTGCCCTGCACATCAAAATAGTGTCTAATATAAGGTGCAGCATTCCCCATGATATAACTTTGAACACAGACTTAAGTCTTCAGTGGTAAGAACTTTTAAAGATCTCCATCGATCCCCAGTCAAAAGAGCTAGAAATTTTGATCAGTCTGATTGTATCTATTCAGACTCACATATTCAGTTCATGTAGTCAATCGCTGCAAATAGAACATGAACCTAAATAGCTTATTACTATCACCTTGATCTTTTGAATTTTTAATCAACTAAACGTAATTCTGTCAAAATTCCTACATCACTACTTGAACTGGCAACAAACCAGCTCCTGAACATGGTTGTAAGAGTAACTTCTTGGTCCAAAGACTGCTTCAGGCTTGAGACAGAAATTATACAATGGTCACACTGAATTAGCAGTTGTCATAGGGATGTTGGAGACCATTATTCCCTGTGTGCACATGCAATCCCTACTAGCATTAATGGGGTTACCAAACACATTGAGAGGAAAGCTGGCCCCATTATGTGAACACTGTTGAAAAGATTAACTGATTTTTCATGCTAGATGGATAGAATGGAAATTTTCAACACTGATTCATTGAAGAGTAGAGGAGCACATACTGCTATTAAATGAATTTGTGACACAGAAAGGGACTGAAAGCTTGCTTTTCAAAACATGGGGCTACAAAGACCAATCTCATACCCTAGGAATCCTTGCCTTCAGTATTTGGAAAAAACTACAGGTCTGCAAATGAGGATATATGGACCTGATCCAGGTTTCTGCCATGGATGTGAGCATGATTAACAATACAACTTAATCTCTCTAAGGAACATTTATACCATCTAATGTAGGAGCCACCTGCAACAGGTGACCAAATTGTAAATCTGCATTCCCCATACAGTCAGTAAAGCCTTTAGAAGACACACCAACCTAGCTTTACTACTCTCCACTGAATATTTAAGTAGCCCAGTCTGATGCTGGAGATGCTTAGAGATAAATGGTTGTTTCCACTAACAGTAAAGTATGCACTGTCTTTTCAAATCTACTGGTGGAAAAGACATTAAATATCAGATGAAACATACATACAAACAAGGAAACACTAGACTATTGCCCTTTTGAGTAAAGGTAAAACAGAGATATCAGGCCTACACAGGGCCACCCTTCATGGTGAATTAAATTGGAAATTATCTGCAGAGAATTCTCACCCCAAGTTTTTGTAGCGAAGAGTTAAAGCAAGCACAGAAGATAGGCAAGTCCGAATGCTGAAAAACAGACACATGTAATCTGCCTCCCTGGAACATCCAACAGATCTGTAAAGTCCATGGGGCACAGTGTGACCATTTAGAAGCGCTGTAGTCACCTGGCAGAAGTGGGCAGGGAAGAGCTCAAAAATGCAACACGTGTGATATGAACAGGTCAGCGGAGCAACGAGAAGACACTTCTCAAAGAACCTTCTAAGGGAAAACGGGGTAAGAACCTTCTTGGGGTTCAACCCCTACAATTCTGTGATTCTGAGATTCCAAGGAGTAGCTGAGGCACTCAGAGCTTGTCCTGCGCAGGTCTGAGACAACTCTTGTGACTGATTGTTTCTAACTTGCATGCCTTCAGCAGTGATGAAATACTGCAGTCCTGTCTCTTGTAAATAGTTGTGACTTTCGTAGCAACAATTATTAAAAAAGAGATAATAAATATACAAAAATATGTATCTGTACATACGTACATACACATATTTAATGTAATTTCCCCCATTCAGAACTTTGGCTCATCTTGTCACAAGAGGGAAAAAAACAATTCAAGATTTTGACTCTGAAAAAGAAATTCTATTCAAAAGAATGGGATAAGGAAAATACCTGAGTTTAAACATGCCATGTTTTTCAGGAGTTTGATATTTCCATGTTGCTTGCTGAAAGAAAATTGAAGCCAGTGGCACCAAGAGGAAAATTTTCCAAATCCACAGCAGGATAAAGAAGTTCTTTGTGTAGAACACTGAATAGAAATTCAGCTCCTCCTGCAACAACAGACTTGCTCTTCTTCCTGTCAGTTGCAGAAGAAATGATGGCAACTGAAGTGCAAAATTAAATGTACATAGAATTAGTTCAAGAACAGACAGTTCAGGGGCCAGCAACACTGCAAAGCATTATGCATTTCCAGAACAGTTTTTAAAGGTAGTAAACTTCTCCCCTTACGTCCCTCCAACTAAAATGCAATTAAAGGTAGCAACACAAAACCAAAAATCCAGTGGTAATCAGTCCCTAAGTCAGTCCTTACTTAGTCACTCTTTACTTACCTTCAACAGTTTGTCTCTTATGACATAATAATAATGGGATGAGGATAGTAAGGACCTAACCAAGCTGACAGCCATACTACAGTAATTAAAGGGCTAATCAATAAACTTGGCTATCTGCAAAAAAAAACTTGATTCCGAAGTACAAAGGTTGAGGCATTGAAAGAAAACTTAAACCTGGGCTTTGAAATTTAAGGATCTGCATGCAAATTATTCTGCATGTATGCAGATTTTACTATAAGCTTTCAGGTAAATGAGTGAATTATTAAAGGCTGCAAAATAACCATCCTGAAAACCCAGAAACATTCAACTCAGACTAGATACTGAGACTACATCATCTTATTTCTCTGTGTCACTGCCAGCTTGAGGAACCTCTGCAGACAATGGCAGAGACATAATCACATGACTATTAGCACCCTGATGGAAACCAGTGACTTACGTTTATCAAATCAGAATCTGGGATTTGTCAAAAAAAATAATAATCTGGGAACAAAAACAAAAACAAAAGCAGTAAAAACAGATCCTACTTTCAATATTAAACTTACCAGTGATGCACAAGAGACCAGGCATTATTTGACGATTCACCTGTGCTGGACCAACAGATTATGTACAGACATAATTCAAGTCAAATCCAGCAACTGGAGAAAGTTTGACTATTAAATCTTGTCATCAAATATGCAGCATAGATAGAAGGCTACATTTGGTCCAGTAGGTTAATTATGCATCCAGCAATTTGTGATCAAGAAATTATTAAAAGCAAGATTGTTCCCAGGAAAATAAATAAATAAATAAATCAATTGCTAAAGCAGTCACTACAAATCCCTGCTATTGTTCTTATTCAAGCATTACTGCTATCAAAGCTTACTGGCAGTGAGGCACTTCATTTTACATTTAGCTTTCTTTCTTCTTTCTTCTTGGATATGGTTAAACTGTGCATATGTAAATAGAAAATGCTTTCAAAATATGGGCACTGCATATACTGTTCATCTAACCTGCACTCCTGTGCCCCCTCCAGCTGCTTGCACCTTCAATTGATAGAAAGCTAGAGAAAGTGGGATTTTTTCCAGACCCTCTATCTTCATCTCTAAAGAGCTTGACAGAGAACAACAGATCAACTTAATTTACCTGAATTTGAAATCTCTGGTCTCCTGTTTCGCTTCTTTGCTTCCTTCTATCATCACGCAGACCAGAAACAGCCCTGAAATCCAAGAATTACCACTCAAAGGTCTGCCAAAGAACCTGGAGAAGTTTATTATCTCCCTGCTGCTCAGACAGCAGCAGACCTAACACATGGCAGAGCAAAGTGTGTTTTGGATGTTTTAGCTTGTCTTTTCATTCAGTTAGAGAATATTGTAAGACACACTGTTCCAATCCAAATTTATGCCCAATTCTCACCCACACACGCAACAAAAAATAAAAGTGATCACTGATACAGCTTATGGACAGACATTAAATTAAAAACAAAACAAAAAACAAACACAAAAAAAAAAAAAACACCAAAAAGGCCAATAAATAAATAAAAAATAAATAAGCAAGCAAATAAATAATAGACAAACCCACCCCAAATTCCTCACTAAGGGGCAGTGAACACACCAGTATTTAGCTCCCGACACTCCCTTGATTACATTTTCTCACTTCATCAAGCAATATCTTCCACTTGGATTCAGCACAGGGGTATTGAACTGAAGAGGAAAAGAGAGTTCAAGGACAGAAACAGCAAGCAGGAAGTGCCTTACAATAAAGGCAAGCTAGTTTTCAAAAAAAACAAAAACAAAACCAAAACACTGACATATCTCAAAACCCAAAAATAATAGGATGTCTTCAATGCCAATTTTTGTTGCAGGGTTTACTCAAGGCTGAAAAATGAACTACTCATCTCTCCACGTCTCTGCCTGAGTTCATAACAGGAGCAGTATGTGGGAAAATCCTTAGCTTTACTTTTCTTACCTTTCTCAGTTCTTAATCCTTTCTTCTCCACGAGGTAAAGGCTAGATGCTGACTCAAGGTGCCCCCAGAGGACACCTGAATTGAAGATTCCGCAGCATTGGATGCATCCTCTGTCAGATTTATTTCTCACACTGTCCTATACAGTAGAAAATTGTTGCTCGGTGATGCTGGATTTGGATGTTAAGTGTCCTCAAAATATATTTGGGCAGCACCCAACATTTCCTATTCTTCACATCAAATAATATAATCTTAAATCAAACAAGATTAAGCCATTAAGCCAACTTGCTCTGCCAACAGCTACGGTGCACACAGTCCCCAGCGCTCTGTTCTATGCAGTGTGATTGGACACATCACCTTCAGCCTACGCTGGAAGCAAGCCAGTTTTGTTTGCCCATTTCACTATTTTCTCCAATCCACAATGATATATGAAAATGAGGCTCATTTTTACCAGTTGCATTAGGGAGGTATTACGGTCAGCAAACATTAAACATTTCACATTACGAATGTATTGTTTTGGCTGGCCCTGATTTTTCATGCGCCAACACATCCCCTGCCACACAGCAGCCTGCTGGCTATCCTGCTAACTCAGCACAAAGCACACTGTAAAGCTCAGCTCTGCCACATGGACCAGCATTACTGCATGCTCTGTCTGAGGTGGTTGCAGTTCTGAGCACAGTACAGTCAGCAGGGCTATGGTTATGCATCACCGTATTGGGGTGTACTGTGCTGTACTGGGGTCAGACTTCACCTTCCAACACATCCAGATTTCTAGAGCGACTCTATGAAAAGTAACTTGCAGATGTTTAAAAGCTTCCATCCCAAACCCTGTAATTCTATTGCCTTACAGTTTCTCACAAGATACTTATCACTAAATCCCAAGGCACGGATGACACACAGCCACAGCACTGTGCGTTTATTCCAAACCTGTCACTGCCATGTACACAGACCTGGAGATGTAGGTTGCAGCTGTCTACTGGGACACCATTACTTTATGAGATCTTCATTCTGCTACAGTTACCACACAGAGCACTAGAAGGAAATTAACTTGCTGTGTAGTTTGCCTTTTCTGAACTTGGATTTTCTGGTTTTAGGATTGCAATCCTTACTCCTCCGAGAATTATTAGCACATTGTTCATAGCCTGGAAAGCATGAAACACCTGGCACAGGAGAAACAATCAAGCACACTGTACACAATATTCTAATACAACAGGTCAGAGGCAGCCTCTCACCTTGCTGCTACACAAAGGAAAATAAAGCAGTTGTAAACCCTACATCATAACGTATTTTTTGCATCAGTGGGAAGCCTGCAGGAAGATTGCTATCAGTCCACCAGGTGCAATCAATACTTGCCACTGTTCTTAGCATGAATTTGTTTTCTTTCTAACCAGCATCCTTTCTTTCCCTGCACAAATGTTTTGTTTCAGCAAAAACATTGCAAGCAAGAATTTAAGTCCGTCTTACAAGAAAAGGAAAAGTAAATTATAAATGATGCCATTGTCTAATTCTCACCAAAATCTGCAGAAAGCACTCCAGTGGCCAAAGGGACTGAGATACTGGACCTCCAGTAACAGGTTCTTTTCTCACTTTGCTCCAATGTCTTTTAAATGTCCTAGTATGTAAGAGCCATAACGCCTGTCTCTTTAACTAGTGCCCCCAGGGGAAAAGAGAAACCACCGCCATGGCTTTCTGGAGAAGGCATTTTCCTTGTTTTTCACACTGAGGACCTGAAGATTTGTACTTCCCTCACAACTCCCTCCATCGCCTCTCTCACACAACTAAGGCTACATGGGATAAGTGGGAGAAGCCCCCACCACTGGCAGAATTGGTGCTGTTGTGGTAGCTCGCATTCGAAACCTACACTTCCTTTAGAGCTGAAGAAAAGGAACACCAGGACAGAAACAACTCTCAGTAATAGCATTTCTATTCTAATACCAACGCAGTAGTAAAGTTTAAGAAGGATATAATTTCTTTCCTATCCCATCTTTCTCTAAATTGCCTGAAGCCTGTACACATGAAGAGGAATAGCCACATTCTCCATTTTGAGATGTACGTAAAACAGAATCAAAACTGATATTCAAATCTAAGACTTGAGTAGTAGACAGTGAGGTTTTTGAGTTTCCCACTCAGACAAAATGATTTTTCATTGCTGTGTTTAAATCTAGTTATTTCATGTTCAGATCTGCTCATTTTGCTATGTATTACAGGAGAAACTACATGGAACTTAATGTGGACAGAGAAAAGACATTTTTATGAACATCTGCATCTGCCTCTGATTTAAGACTGGATTGGGGTAGTAGAGCTGTAACATGAACTCAGTTCTCATTCATTCAAATAAATGTGAGAGGGGAAATCTGAGCATAAGATAAACCAGTGTTTTTCAAAAGCTGTTGCTGCAGGAACTTTGACATTTATGGGTATAGTATCCTTCCTGCTGTAAGTCCCTAACTCAATGCTCTATGTCACTTAGCCATCTCCAGTAACCAGGTCATCAGTGAACTGACATGAGAGCATTTATTCACAGGCACTTTGTTATGTTTTGCAAAAGATTAAGTACAATATGACTCTGACAGTGAAATTAATTCCAGCCCTATTTCTTACTATGTTGTAATGAAAACAACTTAAACGTGGAAAATGTCAGGTAACTGTCAGGCTCCATTTAACTACCACGTTTCACCTGTGAGGTGACATCATTTGGATAAGCAGATGGTGTTGCTACAGGGTTGCCATCATTAGTAGAAGCACACATTTGACTCTGAAAATGGAAGCTGTAAGATTAGATTTAATATTTAACTAGATTTAAAATTTAGCATTTCTGGAAGCAACACCATACTCAAGCTAAATCTTAGTTTGCTTCATTCCTCCATCAGTAACATAGTTTTGCTGTCAGAGTTGCCTAAATTCCTAAGTATTAAGCAAAAACTTAATCCTGCTACCCAATTCATAGTACTTTTTACAAATATTTGTACTCCTATTTCCTTTGCTCCCTCCCCTGAAATACCTGTGACAGTGAGTGTACAATTTGTGTTACTTCATCAATCACTTATGTAGCTCGAATCTTCTAAAATAAACTGTCATGCTGTTTCAGGAACAGGAATGTCACTAACCAGCTAAATTAAATTGTCAGTGTTATTGTAAAAGCCAGAATGGAGTAAACAAACAGTGTTTTGCAGCTGAGAATTTGTTCTCGCACTCACGGTATCTGTTGTAATCTGCTTATAAATAAATAGGAGGCATTACTTTCAGAGCAGCCTACACATACTAGACTGAAATAAATACGCATTCTTTTAACAAGAAATGTATACTTAAAGGAAGTATTTCCATCACAGAAGTCATCACACAAACCACTCTTCAAGAAGTTCTGATATACATAGAGAGAGGTATGCATATATATATTGCTATCATGACATGCCTGTTTTATTGTTTTTTTTAATCTGGAGCGCCAGTTGCCATGCATTACAACCACAAAAGTTTTTCTTTGTGGTTACTAAGCATCTCACACTTGGAGCAAATAAGAGCCACCGATTTGTTTCAATACTCAATGTCATCATCTTTGAGGCAGCCTCTCACCTTTTCAAAGGCATTTCCTCAAAACGTTACAACTGTTAGAATCACATATGCTGTTCGCTGGAAAAAGTGTCATAAAACATTCCAGTCTCAAATAAACAGCTCAGACCTTATGCAGCGAAGGTCTCTGTGTTCAATCAATGTTCAAATCAGCAAGTTGCCAGCTAAGTTTGTTTCCAAATCTTCTTTCACGTTCTGTGGAATTTTGAGAATCCCCATGCCTTCCCTCAGAGAGCCATTTCATTTGCCTTACACCTGGCAGTGATCATTTCAATAACACACGTAAAGTACACATAGCTGCAAGTATGTAGAACCTCCTTGCAACATACAAAGCCCAGCGTCTGGGCACGGAAGTTCTTACTACTACAGCAGAGACAAAGCAGCACAATTAGTCCCGATGATACAGCTGTGCCTAGCAAGCAGGTATCTTTCCAACTTGCTCCAGATTATTACTACTGACAGACTTGTAGCACTTTGTACTAAATAGTAGTAAATAGAGAGATAGATAAAGTGAGGAAACAGCTTCAGACTACTCACACAAAGTCATCCAGAAAAATTTAATAATCTTAATCTCATATTAGATCTGCAACAATAAAGTGTAAATAGCAAATAACATTACATTTCTAAACCACCTCACAGCATTCCTCCAGGAGATGGTTTGTGCATAGTTCATGTAATCATCAGCAATGAAAGAAGCAGCACCCTAAAGGAAGAAGCCTAACTGTAAAAGCCAAGTTAATGAATGCGTACACATTGAGATTCCTCCCCACTCCTCTCAGAGGCAACATTTCCTGCTCTTACAATTTTATCACGAGTCTCACTACTTCTAGTGCCTTCCTTAGAGCCCCTGCTGCTGGAATCATGCCTAAGAGTCCCTAGCGTTAATATTAAAGAAAAGATTTCCACCCCCTTGCATCCTAAGAAAAGCTTGAAAGTGTGAAACAAGCACACCTTACAGGCTGAATGCCTACAAAGAGCACAAGAAATTCAGGGTGGACTGTTTTTGTGTTTAGTTCAAAAATAAAAAAATGAAAATGAAAATGAAAATGAAATAAATGAAATGAAATGAAATAAAATAAAATAAAATAAAATAAAATAAAATAAAATAAAATAAAATAAAATAAAATAAAATAAAATAAAACCCGCTGATTCCTTGAGTGGCAGGAGCCAGACAGCACAGCTACTGCTCATAACTGCCTGTTCTCTGGCATCTTGCCTGAGCAGATGGAGGCACATCAGCAGTTTTACATGGAAAAAAATGCAATGTCACTTTCACCGCTCCATCGATGCAGTAACTATTCTTACATTTCAGAATGTAATTCCAGCTTCTCTTGAAAGTCATACTTGAAAGAGAATGCTTCACCTTTTGATCTATGAAGGAACATTATTTCATGGACAAACTATTTTTCAAGCACAATTTTTTTTTTTTCTAAAGCTAACTTCTCTACAACTAAAAGCACCCTGTTACAACTAAAAGCACCTGAGAATGTAATTATAATAATGAATAATTATAGATAGTGAAGTACATTACCTACAGGAGAGATGTACATGCACATTAAGAAGGAGCATAGC